TTGCAGGATAAAGTATTCTTGGCTGATGTTCTTCTCATTTAGTCCCCTAAGTATGTCTTGCCAGCCCTTTCTGGCTTGCCAGGTTTCTGTGAACAGGTCTGATGTTATTCTGATGTTCCTTCCTCCAAATATAAGGAACCTCCTCTCCCTGGCTACTCTCAGGATAGTTTCTTTGGCTATAAAATCTGCAAGCTTCACTATTATATGTTGGGTGCTGATCTATTTTTATTGATTTTGGGAGGGGGTCCTCTCTGCCTTTTGAACTTGAATGCTTGTTTCCTTCCCCAGATTAGGGGAGTTTTCAGCTATGATTTGCTCCAATATACCTTCTAGCCCTCTCTCTCCACCCCCTTGGGGATTCCAATAATTCTGACATTGGAACGTTTGATGGCATCATTAATCTCTCCAATCCTTTTCTCATGTGCTACTAGCAGCCTATCTCTGTTTTCCTCAACTTCCTTTCCATCAGCTTATCTTCTATATCACTGATTCTTTCCTCTGCCTCATTTCCCCAGGCTGTTAGAGTAACCAGTTTAGACTGCATCTCATTCATAGCATTTTTTTAGTTCGGCCTGATTAGATCTCATTTCTGCTCTTAGAGATACTATATTTTCACTAATGCTTTTTTTAAGCCTAGGTATTGGCTTTATGATTGCTATTCTGAATTCTATCTCTGACATCTTGCTTATATCCATATCCATTAGTTCTGTGGCAGAGGACATTTTCTTTGGTTCTTTTCTTTGTTGAGAGTTCCTCCTCCTAGCCATTCTTTCAAGGGATGGTTGAGTGAATGAGCAGAGTCCAAAACACCAACCACAACCCAAGCAAGATGCACCCTAGCAAAATCCAGAGTGGTCAGAAGCCACCACGGAAAAACAAAGCCAAAATGAAATGCAAGAATAAAATTAAAAAATTAAAATTAAAAAAAAGGAAAAAAAGGGGAAGGGGAAAGGGGACTATACTCTCTCTGTGTGGACAATGCAGGGTGTTCCAGTTGTTCCTGGCTGTATTTTGGTCTGTGTGTTAGAGGACAATACATTCTAAAATTACAAGGGAAGTAAAACTATATATATATATGTAAAACATATACATATATATGTAAATTGAATAGAGTGAAAAAAAGGATTAAAATGAAGCATATATCTATAAAAAATATAAGTATGAAAAAATACAAGTTAAAAAGTGACCATGAAATATAAGTTGATATACTAAACATCTAGTTGAGGAAAAAGTAAAAAGAAAAAAAAAAACAGAGAAAAAGCATAAAAAAAAGAAAAAGTAAGAGGGAATTTTATCTGAAAAATAAACAAGTTGTGAGGTCACACCTGGAGCTCAATATACTATTTTCCCCTGGCGCTGGGATTTTACAGTCTCGTGGGATCCATAGGGTTGTCATCCAATTGTTCTTACAACCTGTTTTCTGGGGGAGGGGCCTGCTGGCTGTTTCTCAGGTAACCCTGCCTGGGCGGAGTTGCCCCGCCCCCTGTCAGGGGGGTGGGCTCAGTGGAAACTGGTCCTCTGTGTTGCTTTTGTTCCCTGGAGGCTTTCCATGCGTCTTCAGAGGGTCAGAGCAAAAGTGGCCACACCCAAACCTCTGGCCCAGAGCAGAAAGATCACAGTCTGCCCTCTTTAATAAACCCTCTAGGACAAACAGTCTCCACTTCTGTATGCACCAAAAAATGCAGCCTCCTCGGGTGGGTGCCCACTGCAACTCTCTCAGAGGTAGTCTCAGCGTCCCAGGAGTGCCACTGCCTTTTTCGATTCTAAAAGCGTGTTTGGCTGTGGGCTCGTTCACACACCCAAAGCCCCTGGATCATGTCTGGGTGCTCCTGTAATGTCCTTTTGCAGGCCGATACCCGCCCTACGAGTTTTGGCCCATTCACTGGCGCAGGCTCTACATTTTTTCAGGCTGCTCAGGAAAAGAGCAATTATCAACCAGCTCCCAGGTTATGGTGATCTGAACTGAGAGTCCCTTCCTGGGCTCAGTGATCATAACCTGCTTCCTGGCTCCATTGCTCGGGCCCTCAACTGGTTCGGGCTCCCCCTTTTGCTCTGTGGTTCCTTGTATCCTGAGACCACAATGCTCTACCTAGAATTCTGCTTTTTCATTTCCAAAGCCTCTTTCAGAGAGGGATGTCTCTCACTAGAGAGATTTCTGGAGGTTCTAATTTTGCACTCTGGTGTTATATCCCTTTCCAGGAGCCAGCTTATAGAGGCTCCCTCCCCCTTCTGTTTATTTTCTGATATCTCCCCACAGATTCAGGACTCTGCATGTCCTACCTTGCAAAAAGCAGTCACTTTTCTGTTTGTAGAGATCCAGATATATATTCTTACATCTCAGGCTGATTTTGTGGGTGTTCAAAATGGTTTCATAGATATCCAGCTAAATTCAGGGAACCAGTTGAAACAGGGTCCCCTACTCCTCTGTCATCTTGCTTCCCTCCTTAAGAAAAATTTAAAAGGTGCTCAGTCCTAGGGTAATTGGGGGAAGCCAAGTTAAAAGTATAACAAGGTACTTTATTTAGATTGTCAGGCATTTTTAAAACTTCTTGATTGAAGTATAATGTATGTATATATCTTAATTGTACAGCCTGAATAATTGCCACAAACTGAACCACAGTTCATAACCAGTAGCCAGGTCCAGAGCAGACCCTTGCCAGCTCCCTGGAATCCCCACTTGAACCCTGTCCAATTACTCCCCTCCACAAAGCAACTGACTTCTAACAGCCTACATGAAATCTGAGTTTGCAAACAATATAAAGTTTGGTGACATCAAGCAATTGCAAAATTGGAGGGAAAGTTCTCACCTTCATTACTGGGGAGAATGCAAATTTATGCAGACGTTTACAGAGCAGTTAGATAACGCCCATGTTCCATCCTTTTCCATCATTCATTTCTGACTCTCCTTGACCTTTTTAATACAGGTTGATTTGTGTTTCCTTTTGCCTAATTATGATTCAGCCAACCAACATTTGCTATTGTACTTTCTGATAAAAGAAGCTTGCTCTGAGAAATGACTGTTAATGTTGACCTATGGTGCCTCTCATGTTCAATTCTGAGCTGCCTGCCAAATGTACCTGGCTCAAAATATCTTTCTCAATGCTGCCCTGCCCTTTCAGTCATTCCCAATTCCATTTATTATTTCCCTGATGAAAATTGAAATTTCTGCCAATTGCAAGTGTACTTAAAGCTCCCCATGAAAGGAATAGAATGGAAATGATATCTATGGAGCATCTCCTCCAGCATCTAACACAGAGTGTGTTGTCAAAATGTGTTTCATTCCTTTTCCTTTTGTTTCAAAAGCTTCACTTACCCTCAAAACAGCTCTGAACATCATGAAAAGCCAGACTGGGGTACTTGCACAAAGGATAAGAATCCTTTTCTCTTTCAGAGAAATGTCGTTGGTGGGCCAAAGTTTTTAAATAATATTTTTGCTTATTTTTGGACAGTGATAAAAATACAATCTGTGCAATTATAATTTTTTACAGATTAATTATATTAAGGTATTTCCAATTAGTAAAATCCTTGTGGTGTGTCGTACTCAGATAAGCGAAGTGGTAGGGACTGAGAGCAAGCAACATGAAGCATGTAGACATGACACAGTGTGCGTCACATACAAAGGCAGGGGAATAACTGTCCAGAGTCGATGTCAGAACCACTCCCACTGCAGGGCCTGCTGGGCTACACCAGGTATTTCAGTGTGGTGGCATTTAGCTAGATTCTCCCCATTTCCATATTGCTCTGATATGGCTTCCTGTAACTCATTGTGGCTTAATTTGTCTGACTTACCCCAAATTACACCACAATGCCCTAGAAAATATTTATTCTGATAGTGGCCTAATTTCCTTGGGTCTAGAGAAATAGGCAAGAAGGCTGAGAAATTGACACATTCCTTCCAAAATGAGCTGCTGAAAATTTTAAAGAAATAGTTGTAAATTCCATGAAATCATTATTGGTAGTTTATAGACACCAAAATAAAATGCTATCCTGAATTCAGAGAAGATTCTTTTCTCTCTATAGTTTAAGTGAACACTCTAAACTTTCATGCAAGGATATGTATTTGAGCTCTTTTTTTCCCTAATTGAAAGGGATTTGCACTAAACTCCTTCATCTGCCCCTTGTTCCCACATAGCCAGTGGCACAGAGCTTTTAATTTATTTAACTTGTTTATTTATTTATTACCAAAAATGTAGAGAATATTCTGCAAATAAACAGCCTTTTCAAAGACTGCATCTTTAGTCATGATCTCATTAGTACTCCTGCCCCTTGGAGACAACCAACATCTTAGAAGGATACAAAGCTTTTTACATTTAGCCACAGACAAACCCCCAGTCTTTGAGTTTCACCAGCATCATGAATGTCAGTTTAATACATTTTTGCCCCTTGATCTTCTGAACCTCTCAAACACTGTTTGTATAACTATGCGGAGAGTAATAGGAGTCTATGACTAATTAGAACTTGAGGGAAATGGGGAGCCCAACTTGGAGACAACTGTTCTTTTTCTAACGTCTCTTTCCTGTCCCCCAATCATAGCCATGCCCTGCAGCTCTATTCAAGGTCATCTGCTTGTCTCTCACTGTACTTGTCTCTCACTCTACAAAGACCTTGTTCACTTTCTTGTCTTCTTTGGAAGGGGTTCAGGAAATGCCACCCCAAAATGTGCCACTTTGGATTGATAACTTTGAACTGAAGACACTTGAAAAACAGTAAATGCAAAGAGAAGCTTTCTATCTTTGAGCTCCCTTATCTACCTAAAGACAGGTCCTCTAAAAGGAACTCAATTGTTATAAATCCCCTTCCCAGAAGTTTCATCAACCAGGAAGATGGACTCATCACAGCAGAGGAGACTAGAAGTCGACAGCACACCCAAAAACACTTGGTAACACATTATCACCATTCCCATCTCTTCTTTTAAGGGCCCATTCATCTGTCCTAAAAATCACTTACTCTCCAAATTGTCTAAATACCCTCTCCTAGTCTCCTATTAAGATGGGTATACAGTCTACAACCATACCGCCCTGAACGTGCCCGATCTCGTCTGATCTCGGAAGCTAAGCAGGGTCAGGCCTGGTTAGTACTTGGATGGGAGACCGCATGGGAATACCGGGTGCTGTAGGCTTTTTCCTTGAGGGGGCAGAGCAAGATGGCGGAGGAGTAGGAGACCTGGATTTCGTCTGGTCCCAGGAATTCAGCTGGATAGGGATCAAACCATTCTGAACACCTACGAACTCAACAGGAGATCGAAGAAAAGAAGAGCAACAACTCTCTGGACAGAAAAGCGAGCACTTTCTGGAAGGTAGGACGTGC